AAGCAAAGAGATGTGTTTTTAACAGAGATTTTAAAGCGTTGAAAAGAGTTGGGGCTGTTTTTATATGGAATGGCAAGTTGTTCCACAGGTTAGGGGCCGCTACACCAAAGGCTCGATTACCTCTGGTTTTGAGCCTGCTTAGGTACATCCAGGAAGAGGAGATTGACAGATCTCAGCACTCAAATGCAGCACCAAGCCAAGACATTTAAAAGTAAGACTTTAAAATCAATCCTGTAATGAACAGGAAGCCAGTGGAGGGAGCACAACACAGGTGTATTGCACTTTCATGGATTTGCAAGAGGCTCTAGTCGACATTTCAAAAGAAAGTCCAAGTAGTGTTTTTTATTAGACATTAGACTGTCAAACTGCAAGCCAGCGGTTTGTGACAGGTTTCTGTTTTATCAATGCAAACTGCGATAATCTCGATGACACTATAAATGCATCATCGAGGTTGTTTATTCAGATTCAACAAAGCAAGAGCATGTGTACTGTGGTGTAGCAAAATATGTACATGTGCAGTAGATATTTGCAGAACACATTTCTTTGACATCCAGCAACATCTCCGAGTGACATATGGTTAAAATGATGTTGTTATTGGGAATCTCTTCGGGGCATCAGTATTGCTTCTTTATAAATGTTATCTTTGGTGATTAACTTTGCTGCATGTCAATTATCTTCACCTATATGGACTTTACATGAACATCTCTCACTCTGGCAGCCTCACAACAATGACTGGATAACCCTTGGGGAGGCACCCTGGGCGAAGCAAGTGACATCTCAAAAGGAATTATATTTGTTGCAACACAATAAAAATGTTTATATTTACAAAATTTTTAATACTTATAAGGCCATATGTATTTTTAGATATTATTTTAAGTGAAAGATGTCTTCCATCTGTGCTGATGATTTACATAAACAAAAATGAGGGTAAATTTGTATACCAGAGGGTTTAACATTTTTCCTTCTGTCTTTATATTTTCATCCATGCAGACTGGATGAAATTGTTCAGACAAGAGGCATGTGTTGGTAATTATGGCACATTAATACAACTCTAAAAAGATGAAAGGTCTGAACTTCAGCAAGTTTGTTACAATTAGATCAAACATCACTTTTAGCTGTAGATAATTCACACAAATTATTAAAGACCGCAATAAAATGTTTTGCTTTTGTCAAAACATGTCAGGTTTATTTCTAGAGCACATTTAAACACAGTCTCAGGTGACCAAAGTGATGCACAAAAAGAACATTAAAATAGAAAGTAAAAAGTAACAACCACAAAATAAAACATACCAACAACGACAAAATACAGAATTGTAGACAACCAATTAAAAGTTAGTTAGTGGGCCAAATAGGCCAATGAACAAAAATGTGCCTTCAGCCTAGATTTAAAAACAGAGATGGAGGAGGCACATCAACTATCTAACAGCTGCTGATTTCATTGTTGTGGAGCAACAACTGCAGCAAAAGACTGTGTAAAACGCAAGCGACATTTGTGGACAGATGTAAGAGACCTAGGCGTGGGAAAAGTCTTTGACATAAGCAGCAATGCCTTAAATTCAATTCTCAACTTAACAGGGAGGAGATGTGGAGAGGATAGGACTTGGGTGAAGTGCTAACACTTTTTGACCCCAGTTAATACCCTGCTGCATTTTGGACTAACTGCAATGCCACTGCAATTAAGGAAGACTGGAGAAGGCCTAAGTAAAGGCAGTTACAATATCATGCAAACACAGGCCATGCAAAAGTTTGGAAATGTTTTTTAATTGGTAGTAAATCAAAAACTGATTTGCTTAATAGAACAGATCTCACAATCAAAGACACCCTGGTTGTTTGCATGTAACCTTATGTATGGGGTGAGGTGGCCTAGTATATTGGTGAGGTGACTTGTGGACGTAGAGGGACCAATGATAGTTACTCCTGTTTTGATGTTTAACTGAAGGAGATTATTTCCCATCTAGCCTTCTACTCAAAACAGGGCAGGAGAGATTGTAAGGATTTTAGAGGGAGGCACAGCTGATAATCATCAGCGTAGAAGTGATAGGAGATGTTATTTATACGTGTTTTTCCAAGAAGGTGCATGTACAAGCAAAACAGAACCAGACTCAGGATAGATCTCTGAGGGATCCCATGGGTGACCAGAGCAGAAGAAGAAGTGGCCTATAGAAACTGAGAATTCCTGTTTAGTGCTGTACCTTTAATACCAGACCATTTTTCGAAATGTGTCAAAAGGATGTCATGGTTTCGAAAGCTGCTATAAGATCTAGTAAAACCAAGATGCCATTTTTCCTAGAGTCAACAGAGGGTAGCAGATCATTTGTTACCTTTAACAGAGCTGTTTCAGTGCTGTGGAGGGCTTCGAACCCTGACTGAGATGGATCAAGAAACTCTAGTATTCAGGAATAGTTGCAGTTGTGACAGGACAATTTATTCCATAATTTTAGAAACAAATGGCAATTTCGAGATGGGCGGATAATTATTTAAACATTTAACATCAATATTATGATTTTTAAGAAGAGGCTGGACAACTATATGTTTAAAACATGCAGGGACGGTGCCAGAGGCTAAGCTGGACACAGCAGGCAAACGCAGTGTGTTATCATGCACTGGTCAATTATGAGATTTTGGGCTACTTTGCTTCCTTAACATGTCTTCTTTCAGACTAGACCTGTGTCTGCGTGGGCTTGCTCCGGTTTCCCCCACCACCAACAACATGTTAGGTTCTTCTGTCAGTGTTATTGACCAGTAAAGTAACCAGTAACCAGTAACCCATAAAAAGTTCTGGAACTGCACAGTGGCTGCCCACTACTTCCTTGAGGGATGGGTTAGATGCAGAGGACAAATTTTGCTATGTGTATGTGACAATAAAGAATCTTCTTTATTTCTTTTTTTTTTTTCTAAAAAAAATTATCGGGGGATTGGGTTTCATGTGCATGACAATGGTCCTCAACCGGGAAAAAGAACCAGTTGAAAATAAAGGTAGATGGATCTGGTGGTCCTGGAGAGAAGGAGAAAAAACTGATCTATAGTTTTAAATATTTACAGTGAAGAACTTCAAACCTTCCAGGTGCTTCAAACGTGTGAGAGACAGGGAGATGGGGGACAGAATTTATAGTACTGAATAAAATTTTAGGTCTGTGAGAGTGTTTACTGAATGTCTCAGAGAAATATTTAGCACTGGCTTTTTTGCTGCTGCATGGAAATTAGCCAGACAGTTTTTAAATATTTCAAATGAAACAGAGAGGTGATCTTTTTTTCCATATCAGCTCAGCTCTCTGACAAGCCTGCCTAAGGGAACGGGTTGAATCGTGCAAACACTGATGAGGCTTAAGCTTGGGATGCCTATATTTGAGGGGGGACTACAGAATCCAGGATAGCTAAGCAGAAGGAGTGGAGGGGGGGGGGCTTATTTATCTGGGCTCAAAAGAAGGTCAGAAGCAGAATGTATGGGGGTTGCAATGTTGTTTCTTGATAGGCGTTTTTTGTGGGAATAGTAGCCACAGGCTTTGACAGTGCACAGAGGACTAGATGAAGCGGCATCTAATACAATAGGCATGTGGTTATCGATACCTCTGAGAGACATAATGAGGTCAAGAGTTTGCACTAGTATATAAGTAACCTTATGTATATGTTGAAGTAGAGCAAATGTGTCAACGATGTATATGAAATGATTAAGAATGGGTTTACCTGAACATGTGTGAATATTACAGTCACCCAAAATCAACAGTCTTCATCTGAGATCTTCTTTGAGGGAACAGGTCCACTCCACCATACCATGCAACTCATAGATTTTACTTCTGCCTTTAATTCTATTAACCCATTAATTCTATTAACCATTAACCCACACTCTTGGATATGAACATTGACCCAGCCATATGCCACTGAATAAGGAGCTTCCTGTGGAATAGATCACAGAGGGTTCCTCAGAGAGCTCCTCAGGGCTGTGTCTCCCCCCTTGGCTCTTCTCCCTTGACACCGCCCACTTTACATCCACAAACACTGCAGTGAGAACAATAAAGTGTGCGGTCAACACAACCATTGTTGGCCTTCTCTCAAACAATGATGAAACCCAGCATCGCATGGAGGCGGACCAAGCTGTCACTTGGTGTTCAAACAATGACTTCCAGCTCAACATAGCCACGAGCAAGGAACTCATTATTGACCTTAGATGTACGCCATTTCCCTTTTAAATCCCTCTGACCATACATTAGCAATAACCTGAAGTGGACAACTAACACAGAACGCATCACTGCAAAAACTCAACAAAGACTTGACTTCCTCGGGCAGCTTAAAAAATACGAAAATCATAGTCAACCCATTCCCCTCAGTTGATTCCCTATATACTCATCGGGCTGTAAAGCGAGCAGAGAAAATCATTTCCGATCCATCACATCCTGCTCATCACCTCTTCCAGCTTCTTCTCTCAGGGAGGCGCCATATGTCACTTTCCACCAAGACCAACCGCTTCACAAAGAGCATTTTTCCCCATAGCCATCAGGACTTCCTTTAGTTGACTTCTCACACACAAACCGGCATGGCCATTCATTCAATGTATTTTTGTATTGTTTTGTATTGCATGTACGTGATGCTGAGCTTAACAAAACAAATTGGACACTTCTGTAGCTGAAGTGTAATGGTGGCAGCTTGACTCTGACTGATTAATAAGCAGCGGTTCTGCTGCTGTGCCTCAACTTCAGCTTCACGTTCTCTCTAAACCCTGAGCTCTCTCACTTTGTCACTGATAAGCCACAGGAAGTAATGGTGTCTCTTTTTACCCATGATGCTTTCTTTCTTTCTTTCTGTCTCTCTTTCTTCTCTTGGATGCTTTTTGCTGACTGACAGAACATGTCACTTTACTAAAAAAAGCTGCCATTTGGCTGTTCTGCCGTCCTCTCACTGCATCTGTCCACTCGTCTGCGTCCCGTCTTCCTACCCCTCTGTCCTCTCTACCTTTTCCCTCTTCTCGCCGCTTATCCTTTTTTTTTTTTGGTCTCTATGTGCAGGGAATCTTGGCAGACTTTGACGGACAGCTGGCTGAGCCAATGACAAACTTCAAAGACTTTTAACACACGTCTGCAGGGTCATCCAGGTTTGAGTACGTGCATGTGAACCCGGATGAGCGCCAGCACTGTTTTGTGCCCTGTGAGAAGAGGACGGCCGCCCTCCCTGCTAAAGAGGTAGGCTGCTGATGAGTCATTAAGTGCAAATGTAGTGCTATATTTGCTTTTAAGTGAGTTTGATAATTAGATTAGAATCTATTGTCTCAGCAAAATAACAATAATAGACACTAGACTTTATTTCTTCTGCTTCCTACTTTTGATTGTCATAGCTTGTTGTTGTTCCTGATAAGCGGACTTTTAAATAAATGTCGTACTGTTTGCACAGATCAACGTCATGTCTAGTAGAAACATTTTGGAGTTATGTAAAGTCTGCCTGTCAGAACAGATACACATATGGTGGTTCCATTGGGATTTCCCCAGCTGCAGGAACTGTGCCTTAGAAAGATCCTTGCGATGCCATATTGCTGTCTTTACACATCTTGTCTATTTGTGCTCCACCAGCATGTGTGATTGTGTAGTATACTTTTATATACTGCATGTTAGCTCACAATACTTAAAATACTTAATAATCTGCCTCGATGTCCGGGTCAGTGTTGCATTTAAAATCCAAAAACCAGTCTTGAGACATATCTGGCGAGTAGAGACAGTGCAGAGTTGAAATGTTTTAGTCAAACGCCCCCGACCATTTTGTTGCCTTTTACATGCCAACTGCATCATGGATTAGCAAGGCAAACTGTTTCTGATGGACATTTGAATTAATTTATCCATTACAATGAGAGTTATCGTAGACTAGATGTCATTCACTGCCTTGCCATCTGTATTTACGCAGTTGTTCGGTATTTGCTTAAATTGGACTCTGTATTGTTGGACATAAGTCATTATATAGTCAGTAATAAGGATGAAATAATCTTCAGGTGTGTTAGCAGTGTGATATCTGGAATGTAGGTTGGGTAATAGGAATGAATAGATCAAGGCCTTGGCCTTTGAGTTGGATGCACTGGACTCTTCAGCTTTACGAGTAACTTGAGTCGCAGAAGACAAATTCCCCCACAGGGATTAATAAAGAGAAGCTGAAAGTATTGGTTGTTTACGGATTCGACGCTGAGACATTGCTGGTATAATATATCCTCTCTCCATTTGTCTGGAACAGGTATGATTGATTACTCTTATGTTTAAATAGTTCTCTGTGTTGTAAAAGTAATGGCGACGAGCTCAATGCAGTTTGTTTTAATTAATTTCTCTGCACCCGCAGTACTTTGGTCAGTTTTTGTGCAAATCATTTTTCTCTTTTATTTCTCTCCAGCAGAGATTCATTAAAACTATGAACAGATGAACTTGCAGGGTTGTAAAACCATGCAGGTTTAACCTTATTACACATTCTGTCAAGATTAAGGTTTAGTTTGTTAAAATATGGGGACATTGAAGAAAAATCACCCTTCTTACTGTTTAATTTTCCCTCAACAGATCTGTGAGCTACTGTTGAATTGTGGCGCATTCTACCCAATAGTAATATGAAAATCAATGAAACACTGCAGACACTCCTGCTGTGTTTCTTAACTGGATGTCAAACATGATCAACTCCAGTCAGCCTTGGCTGCTGGGTAAAAAACAAGCATCAATCTCACTTTGACATTCACGCTTTCAGTGCAAGATAAGTCACACCTTGTGAATGAGTTTTAAAAACTCATAGACTGTTAATGACTGTTAGTACACAACTGTGCCGTGTAAACAACTGCTGCGCTTCAGTGGGAACACATGTGACATATCTTTGCAAAGCTAAGATTCTGTTGATTGATGCATTTAGAGATACAATTTCTCAATCAGACCACGGACAAACATTACAAAATTGAGGAAAATCACCTGTGAAGCCTCATAGCAATCCAACAATTGAACATATTCTGGCACAAATGGTCTTGTTGCATTGGCAAAGGTACAGATTATCCAAACCAGTAAAATATTTAGTCCAAAACACATTACTTTGATATGCCTAGGCGTTTTAGGCTAAGAGGTTAAAACCTAAATGAACAGGCTAACACCCGTACATCTACAGCAGATTGTGATGAGCTTCAGTGGCCTGAGGGTGACCTCACTGACGGCTTTTACACAGTCTCATAATAGAAGAAGAAAACATTCGCAACAACTCGCAATTACAGTGTGTATATGTGTGTGTGTGTGTCTGTGTGTGAGACACTGACTTAAGCTAATGCAGTCTTAATAGGCACATTAGTTTCTTGCTCCGACTGAATTGTTTGAAGCAACTCCAACAAGAAAATAGGTCCATTAGGTAGCTATAGATCTCATAACGCACACACACAGAGACGCACTGAAATGAGGCCCTGAGTACACAACAAACCTGCATCCACCCACATGCTTCGTGTTCTCCTTTTTCTCACAAAACTCAAACGTGTACTCGCAATTTGTCTTTCTTTCGATAATTTACACACTCTCTGATTTAACATGCACACACACACACACACAGAGTCATATCTTTTCCTGCTGCCATTCTGTGTCTCATTGAAGGATTTCCTTTCAGAACTAATTTGCTGCCACTGCATTCACTGTGGCGGTGACAGGAGTGTCCTAATGAGACAGAGTGCTCGCAGTAATGGCAGGTGTGGGCCTTGAATCAGAATTACAGTAATGAGATGAGCAGGCCTAATGGTCACAAGCAGAATTATAAGAAGTACAGAGGCAGGATGAGAGCGCCAATAATGAGAGCGAAGCTTGGGACACGAGTCAGACAAATAACGGAGTTGGAACAAGATCAGGTGAGGCTGCTTCGGTGTGGGCTTTGCTTTAATGAATTAACAGAAGAGTTGAGATTTTATACATCCATTGGTTTGTTTTGATTAATATTCAGCTCGGTCTTGTTGCTTAAATCGAATTTAAAGTTTTTTAAAGGTCAAGTTTTTGGAGCAGTGTACATGAAAGTGTTACCTGAATACTGGAGAGGTTTCCTTCACAGCCTCCCTGTTGCTTTTGTTGCTTAGCTCTGCAGTGTGAGAGAAAAGAAAATTGTCTTATAAATACTCATCATTAGCAGTGAAGCTGCCATGTTTGTGCGCATTCCTGCAGAGCTGTTGGGCAGAAAGTTTGCCCTCAGTTATCATGTGCATGTGGCACTTTGGTAGTATTATGACGACCAATTGCACACTGATAATGTTTCTTATTATTACTGTATAGCCATTATCCATCTGTGTGCCGGCTCACAACGTTAAGATTAAGATTCCAAGCACATCCACATATCGCCATCCAAATCCAAAACAAACCCGCATTAAACATCAATGAATCTGACAATTTATGAAGGAAGTCATTCAGTATTTCTGACAGAACCCACAGTAACTTCACATTACTTTGAGAGCAGGAATTTCTCATTTGTATGTGCAAGATCAGTGTGAACCAATCAGGAGCCCAGGAACATCATTAGAAACTGCAGCCTGCATTTCAGCCAGAGGAACATAGTTCTACATTTGTTCCTAAGACAAGAAAGCCCTGCTGCGGGGGTAGTACTTATTAATAGCCCAATTACTGGGGTATAGTTTGCAGTGATAGACGCTGTTCAGTGGTCAAACTCAAACCTTGAGGCTGCTGCAATCTGTGTTCAGCTTCAGCCACGCAGTAGGAGGGGCACTGGTTTCTGTAAGTATCAGTATGACCGATGATGGACATTTCTTGTACTGTTTATTGACGGTGAAAAGGCAATAGGCAATTTCCCAACTAACAGAAGTGAACAAGTTGCAAGCTACAGCAAGCTGCAACTAGAAAAACCAAACAACTTTATTAAAACAGAAAGCGCTGATGATGCTACTTTGCTGACGGATGCTTCAAAAGATGTAAAAATTGCATCTTAAAGAAGGCTGTTGCTTTTGAATTCAGTCAAATTCACCCAAAGTTATTCAGATGTGCTGTGAACACAGACTGAACTGGGGAAAGGGGACTTTTAGTTCCAGGGACTCTTTAGTCAAAGATATTATGAATACTTTCTCTGGACAAGACTGTCTGCCAAATGCCATAAATATACCTGTAGAAGTAAACATAATGCTGCTGCTGCTGAACTATGAAAACACTTTTGGAAATGGAGTAGCTTGGTGTGTATGTTACTCTCTGTTCCTTTCTGTGTAAACTCAAGGTCAGCAGACATATTACCAGCCTGACAGCAGCAGTGGACTCAGTCAGGGACAGAGGACACGGCCGGCTGCTGGCAGCTCGGCCTCACTGGGTCTCTCTGTGCGTCGCTTTATAACTCTATTGATCTGGACAGAACAACGGAGCAGACAAGCCCATTACAGTACACGGTGTTGGCCACTGTGTTCCTTCTGTGGTCATTCAGCAGCAGAGGTGCAGCTCGGCAGCACATCCACCACAGTGTGGGAAAGAGAGAAGCAAAAGGAGCATTCATCCTCCAGGGGAAGTTTTTCATTTACACTTAAAGTCGCACTGCAACGTTTACTTAGCCTTTCACTGGATTTAGCCTTTCCCAACACACCACAATGTTATGCATTTTCCAGTGTTCCACAAAATAACCACAACTACTAGTCTGGTCACCTGTAGATAACAACTCAAATAAAGAATATCTCCATATACAAACTGTCCAGATCTCTAAAAGAAACTACGCACTTTACAATGCTCCAGCCAGACCACGCTCACTCCACCTTAATATGTCTGTCCCTTTTTTTGTCTCGCATAGCGCAGTAATATGTTTGTGTCTTGTCCTGTAAGTTGATTATTGTAATCTTGTATTGAGCACCATGGGCCTTGAGAAACACTATTTCGTTCATTGTGTTCTCGACAAACCAACTTTACAGCAGCCAAATAACGTCCTGCTCAGCTTCCAGACCGCAGTCTGAAGAGGAGATGTTAGCTAGCGCTAACTGCACTTTCTAGTAGCTTGAAATCAACTTAAAAAATTTAATTTAATCTATCTACACATTGTATTTTGTAAGCTGATATGTGAAATCTAAATATTATGCTGCAGACAAATACAGTACAGTACAGCTGGGCGGTATAATTTCAAAAGTGATATAAAATTAGATAATGCAGTTTATACCGATAATAGTTTGATGTTGAGCAGAAAATACCGATATATATTTTAAACCGGAGTTCTGCCTAACAGAACC